GAGGAAGTTTGGAGCAAGAAAGAAATAAACCTTTCACACTTAAGAGTGTTTGGTTGTATTTCTTATGTACACATAGATTCTACTGAAAGAAGTAAACTTGATGCTAAGTCAAACAAATGTGCCTTTGTTGGTTACGGCGGTGATGAGTTCGGTTGCCGGTTTTGGGACTATGAAAATCGGAAGATCATTAGAAGCAGAGATGTCATTTTCAATGAGAATGTGATGTACAAAGACAGGTCAACTGTAGAATCAAGCAGCTCCAATACCAAAGCTGAAACAAATGAATTTGCTGAGTTTGAGGAGATTTCTGGAAATGATGTTCAGATCAGTCCTGAAGCAGTTCAAGAAGAACCAGGCACACCGGAACTAAGACGCTCATCCAGAATTCCTAAACCAACCCAACGGTATTCTCCTTCTTTGCACTACTTGTTACTGACTGACAATGGTGAACTAGAGTGCTATGATGAAGCGATGCAAGTGGAGGATTCAGTCAAGTGGGAGTCTTCCATGAAAGATGAAATGGACTCGCTTTTGTCAAATCAGACGTGGGAATTAGCTGAATTACCACCAGGCAAGAAAACGCTTCACAACAAGTGGATTTACAGGATCAAATAAGAGCACGATGGGAGCAAATGCTACAAAGCGAGATTGGTTGTCAAAGGTTTTTAGCAAAAAGAAGGTATTGACTACAATGAAATTTTCTCTCCAGTCGTGAAACTGTCTACAATCAGACTGGTGTTGAAAATTGTAGCTGCAGAGAATTTACATCTTGAGCAGTTAGATATAAAGACAGCTTTCCTTCATGGTGATTTGGAGGAAGAAATCTATATGAGGCAGCCAGAAGGCTTCATAGAGGCAGACAAGAAAAACCTGGTATGCAGGTTGAAGAAGAGCTTGTATGGTTTAAAACAAGCTCCTAGACAGTGGTACAAGAAGTTCAATAGTTTCATGAGTAGCATTGGTTTTACTAGATGCCAAGCAGATCATTGTTGCTACATCAAGAGGTTCGACTATAGCTTCATTATTTTATTGTTGTACGTTGATGACATGCTCGTTGCAGGCTTATACATGCAAGAGATTATAAACTTGAAGCAAAAATTGTCAAAGCAGTTTACTATGAAGGATCTGGGCGCTGTAAAGCAGATTCTTGGGATGAGGATCAAGAGAGACACAAATTCAGGGACTTTGATATTATCACAGGCTGAGTACATCAACAAAGTACTCTCCAGGTTCAACATGCAAGATGCTAAACCAGTAAGTACACCTTTAGGTGTTCATTTTAGACTCTCCAAAGAACAGTCACCAAAGACGGAGGAAGAACGTGCACACATGGTGAATGTGTCGTACGCCTCAGCAATTGGAAGTCTGATGTATGCCATGGTTTGTACCAGACCAGATATTGCTCAAGCAGTGGGAGCTGTTAGCAGGTACATGAATAATCCGGGCAAGGTACACTGGGAAGCAGTCAAATGGATCCTCAGATATCTGCGGGGTACCACAAACAAAGCACTTTGTTTCAAAGGTGGAGATGCGATACTGACATGCTATGTAGATGCTGACTTAGCCGGAAATGTTGACATCAGAAAGAGCACTACAAGGTATGTCTATACTCTAGGAGGAACCACAGTGAGTTGGGTTTCTCAACTACAGAAGATAGTTGCTCTCTCCACAACTGAAGCAGAATATGTCGCTGTTACGGAAGCTAGCAAGGAGATGGCTTGGCTCCAAAGTTTCTTGGAAGAGTCAGGCAAGAAACAAGAAAACAATGTCTTGTATTGCGACAGTCAAAGTGCTATACATCTAGCAAAGAATCCGTCTTTTCATTCCAGGACAAAGCACATACAATTGCGATATCATTTTATCCGGTCTCTTCTGGAAGATGAGATTTTGAAACTTGAAAAGATCAGTGGAGCTCAAAATCCGGCAGATATGTTGACAAAGACGGTGACTACAGACAAACTGAAGTTGTGTTCAACTTCAGTTGGCATGCTAGAGTAACAAGACTAGAAAAGCTGTTGCATTGATCGAGGTGTGAAGACAGATTAAAATCAGTCTTCAAGTGGGAGATTGTTGAAAGTATTAAAATGGTTTTCAAGTTTGGTAACTAACTTTGAAAAAATGGTTTTCAAAGTTTGGTAAATGTTTCTTTGAAAATGGTTTTCAAAGTTTGGTAAATGTTTCTTTGAAAAATAGTTTTTCAAAGTTTGGTAGATGTTTGTTGAAAAATGATAATGGGATAATCACAATTAATCCCTAGGTTTTAGGGTATTTACAAGATTAAGTCCTTAAGTTTCAACTATAAATACCCTAGCTCATTTAGCTTCAAAACAATCCCAAAAATCATTTCTTTCTCTCAATACTAGAGAGTTTTCTTGTGAGTAGTGAGTGTTTTGTAAACACCTGTAAATTTTCTCTCTTAGTAAAAGATCTGCAGCAGTCCGGAGACATAAGCACAATTGGCTGCACTCCATTATCAATTTCGAGTACTATTTTTCCGCTTTTATTTTGCATTCTCACTAATCTAGTTATAGAGAAATTACTTGTACTTGGTTTATTTCCCAACATATTATACGCATTCGAGTTGAAACGTGAGTACCAAGTTACACATACCAGCACCAGTTATATTTGATCCTTTAGTGCTGGTATGTGCAAACGTGAGTATCAAATTTTAAAGATCTTTCTAATACAAAGAAATAAAACAATGTGTTGTTTCTATTGGTATAATTATTATAATGGACAATATTCCTGAGTTTAACACAGTTTTTAAAAAGAAATATATGCATAATACATGTCAAAGATATATGTTAATTTGATTAGAAATTGAACGACAATAAATAATGTGTAAAGATCTTATCACTCTACAATAAGGAAAGAACCCGAGTAACCACAACACACTGACGTCGGTGATCCACACTACATTTACTTTACTAAGTAAATGCTTATTGAACTTGACAGTTGGGCAAGTTTCGGTTTATTTATTCATTTGAAAATGCTTATTGGTGTTAATTGTCTATTGCTGATTTTTGTTTTACTTTTTATATTACATCTTTATTTTTTGTTTATTTTAATTTTTAATTATTTTGTATGTATATATTTTTTAATTTTTTTCCGGTTTTCTTTATTGGTCTCTTGATTTTTTTCTTTTATCCTTTTTAAGGTTGAACTTGACGTCGTCTTTATTGATTAAAATGACGTTTATTTATTATCATGTTGACATTTTAAGTTTTAGATTATTAAATTAGATTTGGATACGTGATTTACATTCGTTGATAGTTTTTTTCACATCGTTCAACTTTAATTTACGGTTTCTCGATGTTCTTTTGTTAGGTTGATTTCTTTTTGTAGTTTATTTATCAATGTAGACAATTTTGTTTCGTATCTTTTCCTTAAATTTTTGGTTGGGTTTTTAATTTTTTCCTTATACAATCACTATATAATCTCAAATGGTTAATTCCTTGTGTCAACGGTTATAAAAAATATTTTAATTATACATTTAATATAAGATTATAACTATTGTAATTATGAATATTTTTTTAATAAAAGTAATGCCTTCTATAAAAAAATACCAATCCAATCAAAATTAATCCTATGATACTTATCTCAACTCATATTATTATTATTGTTGTTGCGATATATTGAAGGACATAAGTTTAAATATATTTAGACTTTTATTATTATTTTTATTTATAAATAAAAAACAATTTAAATATTATATTAAAAATTTCATGAAAATATTAACATTTAATTCGTCTAAACAATATAACACATTATATCTTTTATATAAAATTTAAATTTAAATTTTAAAAATATAAATAAAATAACCTAAAAATCATTATCTTTTAAATAGGTCTATACATTATACTATTCAAATTAATCAAGCAATAATATTGAAATACTACCATTTATTATGATGGGATTCCTAAGTTTTTATATGTACGTTATATATGTGTCCCCAACAACTTGTTAGAAAATTATAGTAAGTGATTTTGGTAAATAAAAAGGATATTTTATCTTTTTCTATTTTGAATTAATTATTGGTGCATGATCTATTGACTGACTAATTCAGATTAGGTGTTGTAGAGGTGAGGACAACCTTTCCAACCCAATTTGTTTCATTCGCAAATGTCATAATTTGAACTCCTGACTTTACTTAAAGATTTTATTCTCTTTTAAAATTTTAGAATTAAACATTTATATTTCCAAGATGTATATATATTATCAATGATTATGAATGTCAACGAATGTTGGTACAAGTGGTTGAGATTCAATAATTTGAGCTTGTAAGTCTAAGTTAGAATCCTACCACCAACACTCTTAACGGCAAATCTGTAAATTACTATGTAAATTCCCATTGGGTATTAGGTATGCCCTACTCTAAATTGGGGAGCTACCCATGACCTAAACTTTTATGTATAAAAAAAATAATGAACAAATATTATATTATACTCACTCTATACTATAAAAAAGAGTAAAGTACACAAATAGTTAATCGATTATAGGGTACTATTTTGTTGAGTCCTTCAATTATTAAAAGTTATAAAATTGTCCATTAACTATACATCACTGTTTGTGGAGTCTTTCGACTCTTAAAAGTTATAAATGATCACCCAACTATTATATGCTTCAAACTTGTCATTTTAGGTTAAAAAAGTGATAGTTGTCTTAGCTAGACATTAACATACTAATTGATATATGACAAAATTTGATTTTAGAATCTCAAACTATCCAATTCAAATGATTATGATATTATATTTTATCATATCCCGATCAATAGGTTAATGTTTGTTTCATACCAATATCAATTTTATAATTAAAAGAACAAATTTAAAATACATGAGTAGTCTAATAATTATTTTATAATTTTTAATAAATAAAATATTACATAAAATAACACTGGATAATCATTTACTTAACCTAAAAATTACCATTTTAAGCTCGGATAAAAATCCCATTGTAAAACCGAAAACAACATTAAGAACAAAAAAACAAGGGAGACAGAGAGAAACCAGTGTATGCAAAACTACTCACTGCACATATTGGGGTTTTCCACATAGTAATCGTTGTATCGTACAAAACCCAGTGAGCAAGAAACGTACACTTAAAAACAGGGTCAGCTCTGCCACAAACGAAGCATCAAACTAAGAGAAGAAAGAAAAACAAGAGAGGACCGGAGTCCGGACCCCCTACCTTCCCTAAAATCAAGCTACTGTTCTTTTCCCACCGTACTTGGCTGAAAGATTGATTCTTTAGTTACTTAGCTGAAAGATTGATTCTTTAGTTGCTTGATTTGATTCCTTGTTCCGCGTTCTACGGGTACTTTTAGTTGTTGGATCTGATTAATGGTTTAGGGTTTTCTTTGTCATGCAAAAAACAAGAGGAACCCATGTCTTGATTGTTTGATTCATGAGATAAAAGATAAGGTTTTCTACCTTTTCTGCGATTCTTCATTGGAGATCTGTCTTTCAATCTATACTACAAAAGGTAACCAACAAAATCCCATATTTGTTTTTGTTTTCCATTTTAGAGCTTTTTGATTCCTCAAATCAGGGAAAAACATGGCGGCTAATCGGTGGTGGACTGGGAATGTGGCAATGGGAGGCGTCGGCTCGATGTCTCCGACCCCATCGCTTCACCTTAGAAACCCATCGGAAGATCACCAAATCGCAGCTCTTAGAGCTAATGTTAGCCCTTCGAATGAAGATCATCAAGAGGATAATGAAGATATCCGGGATAATATCGAACCCGAAACCGTTGAGCTTGGTTCTGGTTCTGGTTCGGGTTCGGCCTCACGCCGCCCTCGGGGTAGGCCGCCTGGTTCGAAGAACAAACCAAAGCCTCCGGTTGTTATCACTAAAGAAAGCCCTAACTCTCTCCGTAGCCATGTGTTTGAGATCGCCAACAGCAGCGACGTTGCCGAGTGTATCGGCAATTTTGCTCAACGTCACCGCTGCGGCGTCTCGGTTTTGAGTGGGAGCGGTGTTGTCACCAATGTTACACTCCGCCAACCGGCTGCCCCTAGTGGGGTGATCACTTTACATGGAAGATTCGAGATTTTATCTTTATCGGGTGTGTTTTTGCCCACACCGTCTTCCCCGGGAGCGACAGGACTGACGGTGTATTTAGCCGGAGGACAAGGCCAGGTTGTCGGAGGGAATGTGGTCGGGGCACTGGAAGCATCCGGACCGGTTATGGTTATTGCGGCGACGTTTACTAATGCCGTTTACGAAAGGTTGCCTATAGAGGATGAAAATAGTGGCGGTGGAGGAGGAGAAGGCGGTGACCGCGGCGACAATAACAATAACATCAACAACAACAATAACAATAGTAGTAACGATGGTGGCGATGTAAATTCAGGGTCTCAATTTCAAGTTATGAGCCAAGATCATCCCCAAGGTGGTTCCATGCCTATCTATAACCTGCCTCCTAATATGGTGCCTAATGGACAAATGCCTCATGACTTGTTTTGGGGTAATCAGCCTCGTCCGCCATTTTGTTAACCGGAAACAGCTACGGATCGAATACGATGACCGGGTTTTGGTACAAAACAAGTTGTGGGTTTTATTTTTGTTCATGTAAGAGTAGTAACAAAGGTAGGGCTTTTTCTTTTACAATGTTCATAGTTTCTAATCTTTCTGAATTTATGCTTTAGATCAGTTCTTTTGTACAACTTTGTAGAACTATCTCTTAATCAAACTTTGTTTTGAGTGTAGCAATGTATCTATGAATTAGGCAGAGAATCGAAGTTTTAATTAGAAATTTGTAAGAGGAAAAGTAATCCTATTGTCTTACGATCGCTTGCTTGTCTTTATTTATTAATAGAAATGCATTGAGTCTTGATGATGTAGGTGAAGAATTCGAATTGAAGGAATTGCAAGGATCTATCATTCATTTTCATGGTATGCTCGTTGAAGCTCATCTGATTTCTTCAATGTTTTATGGTTCTTTTCTCCCTAAATTGAATAATGTTGATGATGCATGATAAGCTAGAAATAGAGTTTTTCAAGAGAGGAATATGTAGTCAGATTTGGCAGAGCTTTTGACCCCCACAAAATTTCAAGCTTTGAGAGGAGAATGCATGTGGTAGGACCGTAGGGGGCAGAATATGAGCAACTTGGGGGCTGTGATTCATCCGAATCTTCCCAAAATTAGTACACTTGAGACTTTTTAAGTGCTTGAAAATTTTAACATCATAATAATGATTCAGTTGTTTAGGGCCATTAGGTCTTGTCATATTTTACTCAACTATTAGGCATAATATACACATATGTATTTTGATTGCTCCCCACAAGTATCCATCTATTCCTAAACCCTTGGGGCTGCCCGTAAATGTCTTCTACCACTCATCAGCTGCCAATAAATTTGACTGTTTTCTTGCATCTGTATAAAGTTATGGGGCTGCTGCTCTTGCCTCTGTCTACCTTCAGTGACAGACTATCGTTACAGTTATTTATCTTATCTTTCCTAATGACGGGTTATAGTCACGGTTACCTATCATGTCTACCCTAATCATTGGGAAGCTCAATGGAAAATCGAACAGTCAAAGGATCGTTATGATATCATTTGTCATGAGGTCATTATCCTCTTCTCAAAAGACATGTTTAATAGGATTTGCAACATCATTGTTTATAAATTTTGGGACATTTCTTTTCTTTTTTGATTAATACTATTTACATATCATATAAAAATATAATATAAAATACGACAATTTATCAACACAAGGTAATTTTTGCAAATTAATTTAAAGTTCTCTTCTTTATATTCTCTAATGCTTCGGTCGGTATTCGACCATCACCGACCTACTGTTGTGGGGAGTCATATATGTGTGCCGTGACGCAGCCATGGTTAGTATGATCATTGCTCGGACACTTAACAGTTTTGATGACAGCTGCAGTATTGGTTTGTCTTCGTAGTTTTTTTTTTTTTTGAGGGAAAGTCTTGGTAGTTATTTGAACAATACAAGGAACATTGGTGATAACTAGTTTTCAACCTTTCTTAAAACTTGTAAAAAAAATATTAATCTCAATATTCTTTTATAAAAGTCAATCCTAATCCAGCCAATATATGCAAAGATGTCTGTAAAAACACTAGACAAGTGTAGTTTGTTTAGATATGTTGTGTTTTGTGTATGATTTCTTGCCTACATCTTAGACCTTGTTGAGGAACATAGTTGTTGATCAAGTAAGGAATCTTATGCTAGCTCCGTTAACCTAAGTTGTCATATATATTATCTGAATCACGTCAAAATATCATAATTATGTTCGATTTAAGATTATTTAAAATTTTCATTTGAATTGGTAGAATAATTTGATACTAGGTTGTGTTCTCTCTTTGGAAAGTTGAACTTATGAAATTTGGGCTTATGGCGCACATCATGCATTAAATTACAATGGCTCCCATCAACACTAGTTTCAAACATTCGTAGGCACTAGGAAGAAAATGGGAGCTGCTTTTTGCTAAGCATTATTCGGTTCGTTGATTCGATTTTTTATTTTAACTTGACCATTTTCAATTCATATATTTTTTTAATTTTAAAATTTCAGTCATACTCAAATAATATACTGATAATATGATTAAAGTACATATACTTAATACAACTGACAGAAAAATTTCAAACTACACACTGAAAAATAAAATATAACTAAAGTATGTATACTTGTGTCATTGATAGAACAATTAAAAAAATAAATAAATTGAAAAATAAAACCAAATCGAACTATTTTTCGATTAATCTGGAGTGATTATGAAGTAGTAACAGTTCGGAAAATTTTAAATTATTTGACAATGAATGCTCAAACATTCCTGATGGCGTGCTTGAATCCGATACCTTTAAAGATAACAATCATCTCTTTAATCACCGAAGTTGTTTGATTCGGATATCAAATTAAAATATAAATTCAAATCCATATAATTTGATAATTAATGGACCATTTTATTCCATGGGTCATTAATTTAAAGATAGGACATAAAGTAGGCAGTTTCCCCCATGAAATTAACCTATGGGCTGGCCTTGCTATTTTTTCTTCCAGGCAAAGAATGCAGACTGCATCTGTCATTCCATGAAATTATAGTTACTCTTGTATTCAAACAACTTTCTTCCTGTTTTCGATAATTGACACCATCATGGATTAAATTTTATTATCGGAATTAATTAACTATTGATTTAGTGGGATAAATGTTTTAAGTCTCTTAAGTAATGTTGGGGTTAACATTCTGATATTGTAAATAAAGCAAATTAAATTAATAAAGATGTTTCTACGATGAACTTCTATAATATCTGTATCTGAATTAATAGAGTAATATACCGAATATCGAAGGATTATATAATAGCCTCGATGTTTCATGATGAAGAAATTAGCTCAGTCTAAGATAACAGTTTAGTTTTTCTCTCATTCAAAGAAGAAAAAAAGATTCCTTTGTCCAATGTACAAGCCCAAGAGAAACCCTGATCTTACTTGACACAGTCCGAAACTGTCATATCATAAGCTTAAATTCTCTTATGGCTGCTGATCTAGTCAATGTAGGAGCATTCAAGTTAACCCATAAACAGTGCAATTTTCTTGTGTTTCACCTTGGATTCCTTGTAGATTCATGCATCTCTAGTTTGGTCTAATTCCTAAAAAAAAAATCAATCTTTAACAAGTTGTTGTTCTGTTTTTCCTCATTTGGCAATCAGTTCTAGAAATGCATTCGATAAATACTCGTATTTGAAAATCACATTTGAATCTAAATAACATAGGTTACGAATGCGTAACTAGATCAACCGATTAAGTTTATGTTGGAAAGCTTATCTGTATGATCTTCTTAGTATAAACATCATAAATTAGAAGACAAAGTTGTTTGTTTTGGAAATTCAAATAAGAACATACATAAAACATTCATCATAAGAATAATGGTTACATCATGCATGGTACAAAAGTTTGAAATTTACTCCCAGATTGAAGGAATCCCAGTGTTCTCCATGCATGGATTATCTATGAGGCCTCCAGATTCGAGTCCTTCGAAGTTTATTTCGAAAGGATTTCGATAGAGATCATAGAGAAATATTTGGTCTTCCACCCATTTGAAAGGTGAAACTGAGTCTTCTTCACACAATTCACTATGGAAAACCTGATTTCCAGTTATAAATCCTTGAGGGTCTGCCAGTGTAGCTTGTTCATCTTGATAATGGATTGTGTTCATAGTTTCATCCATGGAAGCAAGTTGTATCTTATCATCCAAGTAAGTTTCTGCTTGAAGATTTCCATTGCTGGGAACCTCAACAGCATGATTTGCCATCTGGTTGATGAGAACTTCAATCTCCTCTTGTAGGCTGGCAACCTGCAAAAAGGTGAATTATTCAGCATGATTTCATGTACACGTATAGCCTATGTTGTCCCGACTCTTCATTTTTATAAGTTTCAGTGTTGGCAACAAGGGGAAACCTGTTGTTGAAGAGCAAAGATATGAGCGATGCAACCGTAAATGGGGTCCCGGATTCGAGCCAGTGCTTCGTAGGATATCGTAACGGCCGCATCACTTCGATTATGTATCGGTAAGTGTAGTAACTGCTTTGAGACATTGCTAGCACCAAACACCTTGTGCACTGCGGCAAAGTGATTTGCAGCTTCATCATAGCAGAAGTAAGGTGCGAGAACACATTCATTAGTGCATTTTCTCCTCAGGAATTTGCATGCTCCGCATGAAGATCCAAGCCCTGTCATTTTCCCAAGCTTTTACACTTAGATTGTGTCAATGATATGCATATATAGATGCTTGTTTTGTTTAGGAATAAGAAGTTGCAAAGATTTGCTCTTTATAGCCATCATTTTAAAGATGTTTGGAACTATTACTACTAGTTAGTTTAACGGAGTAATATGTTTGGTCATTTGAATAAGGTTAAGGGAAGTAAACTGGATTAGGATGGAATGGTCATTTCTTTAATAGACCTCTATAATATTTGAATCAGATTATTTGACTAGTGAATCGAATACTCATAGTAATAAAAAAACTTGGAACCTGGTTTCTTGTTAATTCCAAGGGATATTATCATAAGCTTAAGCTAAAATGCTTGTGGCTTTTGGGTCTCCATAATGGCCTACATTGTTTTTTCTTGCATTTGGAAAGTTTGCTTATTTTATGTCTTGAAAAGGGCTTTTATTCATAAATATTCTTCACAAATAAGGCTAATGTAATGGAAGGATCAATCATCGTTATGGTTAGTTGGGCTATAAAAAATCTAAGAGATAATTTGAAGGATAATCAAAAGTATTCTTTCCAAAGAATGTCATCATGTAAACAAGAGTTTATAATTAAAATTCCGTTTAATTAAGTGAAAAATTCGTGATACAACTTGTTTGATGAAGAAATAAAAAAAAAATTAAAATATGTTATAAATGTGAAGTCTTTCGGGTTACGATACGGGCTTTGCCGCATATTCAATTCATACACGATTGTACTTCTATTAATTTGTAATCTATTGCAAGAATTCATATCGAAAAAGACTATGTGATTTAATATTTCTTTCTTGTCAAGTAATCATGAACTTCTGATAATTTTGGTATTATAATGAATTTTTCTTATCTATACGTGATTTATTACAAGTCTTGCATATCATTTCAAGTCTTTCAAACATATGCATGTAATGCTTGTATGACATTACAAG